GTGTGTGTGGCGTGATAACGTAGCAGGTTTGAAGCAACGCAAACTCGCTCGGAATCAGCGGGTGGTGATGGATTAAGAAAAATCCGGTCTCTCTGAAAGCTGCGCCTTGCAGGAATTTCCCTCCAAATAGCACTGGACGGACGTTGGACTGCCAAACAATCACGTCGCGAGTCTCTTCTTTGAAATATCGCTTGGCTTGCCGTGTATGAAAGACTACAGTCTTTGAATCGTCAGTATAAAGCTCTGTTCCACAGCTTTCCACGATGGTATCAAAAGTCGAGTGCACGATCTGAAGTTTCAAAACAATAAAACTTAGCCAACGATCAACCGATGGTGAACCAAATAACTTACATGGTTGAAGTGACATCGCGCAGAGGGACGGACACGCTTGGAGACGACGTCCCAAACTGCTCGCCCTGTTTGTTTGGTTGGAAATGGGAATACTTTGGTACCAAAAACGCGCGAAAAGACGTGTCCCGTGCCGTTTATCAGCATCTCCGGCACCGTGCACGACGAAGGAGCGGTCAGATCCACGCAGCACCGACTAAAAACTTTGTCAACTTGCTGGTAACTTGCGTCGGTGCTTGCAATTAGCTGATTCAAAGTAGCCTGGGTGAAGATTTCTGCGTCGTACGCTCGAAGGTATTCGATGGCTTTAGGATGCATCGAGCTTGACCTCTTCAAGGAAAAGAGAACGCAATATTAGCTGCAAATAGCTTCACCCTCTCACGTTGACACGTACCTTGTCTAGTGAGCACTGGTGCAGTAGAGCTTGCAGTTTGGAGATGATGTCGGCGTTCGATGCAACCAACCCTTTGAGCCGTCGGTTTTCTCTGGTCGCCTTCATGCGCTCTGAAATCTGTTGCTGGGCTGCCGCCCTCCACACAGTCCGAGCAATGTCAGCAAAAGGTGATTGCTTGGCATGGCTCGAATTGTTCTCATCCTGTATTACGACAGCTCGCCGCACTTGCTGCATCGCTGCTACTTGCGTTTCTAGATCTGCCGCCTCCGTCCTTAGTACGCGGAGTTCTTTACGTTGTTGTTCCCGGGCGTGGTTCGGATTATATGTTCCTTGTCTCTTTTTCTGCCGTGACCGGGTTGCTTGCGTTGTCTTGGATGAATCCAGGCTCGTGGCAAGTCGCGTCTGAGTTGTCTGAACGTTTAAAGTCATAGCTGGAACTGCATCGTCATTAAGAGGCAGTAAGGGCGTCTCCTCCTCGTAATCGAACCCAAGGAGCTCGTCGAGACTCGCAGCAGATGACGCAGAAGTAACAGAGTCTGTAAAACTGGGCACCCCCATTGACAGGTCTCCCGTAAACTCGTCGATAAACGAGAACGCCGCCTCGACCACTTCGCGATGTTCGTTCATTTTGTATTTGTTGAATGTTGGTACAGTGTACCGAAAACTTGGAATTAGAATTTATTAATACTACCTACTACTTCCTCCGTCCGAAAATATAAGGCAGTTTGTCCAAAAATTTCATTTCTAAGCTCAAATCATCGTATGAAGGTTCATTAATTGGCTAATAGTAAGGCGCTCCGCGTAATGATGCGATTGGTGGGTTTCACGAATAAATT